TTAGAATAGACATCGATTTAGATCTAATGAATTTAAACAATTAAAACAGCGTGTATTTACATTAATTTTGACCTATTTATAAACAAAACTAAAAAATGAATACCTTTTAACAAAATAATTGAACTGTCACATCCGAAAAGTCATGATTAAATCCTCTCATTTAATTAAATTCCTTGTACAGCCGATATACAAATGGCCGCCATACAGTGCGCGAAATCTGATTGGCTAATTCAAATGCAAGCGTTTAAATGAGTCCAGAAGTTTCTAACGGAATATTTTTTCAACGAAATAATTGCCCATGCACCATCAGTGTGTTCGAATATATTTTTCCGTTCAAAAAATTGGAATCAATCTGTAAAACGCTTTACTTAACCAGTATGGCCGATGAGCAAAATAGACTGATATTTATATTTTATTTTTAATTGATAAGTACATTGGTACATTGTTTGAAAGTTTTTGTTAATGATAGACCATGCAATTGAAAGAACAGAAGATAAGCTTTTGAATAAAGCTTGAAAGGCAAGTCAACAGACATTTTTTTAATTTTTCAAAATGCTACGCGTTTATGAGCAATAACTATTAGACGTCAGGCTTGACCAACATAAAACTATAACTAGCCTGTAACGTCTAATCTATTGGACTAGGACTAGGTAGGATTAGTGGGAATATTAGTCCTATAAATTTTGATGTTTCACTCCTTGGCAAAGCCTGACCATCATCAGTCCATAATGTCTAATATATTGGACTAAGATTGGATATGGCCAAGTCCTTAGGAGGCTATTCTAGAAGCGACAGGGCCATTTTACTAGTTTTGGGGAAGGCGTCCTAGCCCTTTCTGTGGGGGAAAATGCGCGATTTTCACACTTGAGGGGAAAATATCATATTTTCATACTTTCTGGGAAAATATCAGAATCAATTTACACATTGAAGGTTTACTTTATTATGCTTTTCTCTCGCCGATTCGTCACTCTTATTTGGAAAAATTGCACTTGCACAACAAATATCAGACATACATACAGTTCAATAAGTGCATTTGTTAAATAAAATCATTATCTAAAAGTTCAAAAACTTTAAATTACTTTTAAAAACAACCGCTCAAAGATTAGAGCATCTGAACATGTCAACCATGACTGGTTTGCTCGGCTGGACGCTTACCCATCAATTCGTGATATCCAATTCACCCTGTGACGTCATCAAAATATAGGTGCTCACACCACTAAACGTTCGCATGGTTATTTTCAGTCTGATCTGATCAATATATGTTTCAAAGTCTTACAACATAATGATTTTTTTTTTGGCTTAATTGCAAGTGTATTAACATTAATATCGAATATTTTAAAGTAATTAGGTCATCAGCTGATTGTAGGGTAAGCTCATTTACACCTGTTCAATTACGCATTTTGATTGGATAGAATTGTCAAATTGAGTGTCTAATAAAACTTGTGTAGTTTTCGGATGGTGTATGTCCTTGCAGAAGTATTTATACCAGAAATTTATTTAGGTCACGAATCGATGAGAATGAGGCATACTTGGCTTTCTGTCCAACATATGTTAACAGCGTTTTTTTCCAGATCAATTTATTGCCACTTCCTCAAGCCTACATTGTAATTACTACCTTTTTTACCCCCCAAAGAACGATCCAAAATTCCCCTTCTTGCGAAGATTTCCTCTTTAAAAGAAAAGATAATGAAAGAATACAATTAGTTCTTAAAACAAACTACTTCTGGAAACCGGTTACAGCAAAAAAAGGGTAAATAGGTCCAGAGCGGATATAGCTCTAGGAAAGAGAGTTCAAATTATATTGGGTACAAGACTGGGGTATAAGAATGTAGACATGTGATATTTTATAAGATAAATGTGTACAGGCATTTAATTAATCTCCCACCATGTGTCCTAGCCATAGGTAATCACACATAGGCACCCCTTGTCCCTACATCAAATACAGGTTTCCTCATTTAATTAGTCTCTTTCTTCTCTCATAGCATTACAACTATGGAATAAACTCCCTAGTAACATTGCCACTCTGCTCAACTTAAATGGGTTCAAATAGCTTAAACAATTGGGCATGAAGTTACACTGACTGCCTTTTTTCAGTTCAAGTGACATAGTCATTATTTATTTATTGTGGGAATGTATTACAGTATAACATAAGTTATATATAGCTTTTGAATGACACTGTCAAACCATTAAAAAGAAAACCAGGAAAACTTGAAGACATTATCTATGACGTCTCAAGACTCTTTCACAATTCTAATTAGTTAAGACTATATGTATATCGACAGGATCTTTCATACAACATGGTTCGCACGGGCCTTGAAAAGTCCTTTAATTTGGTTTCAACCTTGAAAAGTCCTTGAATTCAGGGTTGCCTTGAAAAAACACTAAAATTGTCCTTGAATTTCAGTAAACCCCCTTGAATTTCGGTAAAATGCCTTGAAAATCCAAAAGGGTATAAAACCTGTCGCTGTAAAGGTCAGGCAAATTTTCCGCTACAAATCGGACATGTGAACGAAGGCAGCCCGATCGAGTGCGCCCATTTGGATCTGTTTTAGTAGTGTTTAGCCAGCGTTACGGTTTTGGCACGGATTTTAACAAGCACTTGTGTATGACGTCATCGCAAATTGTGTACAAAATGTCAGCTTCCATTGCGAAGTAAAAAATGGGAAAATACACTAAGAAATGTACGTTTCAGCTATAATGGCTTCAACAATACAGTTGGGTAAAACAAGTTATACAAGACCCACGAAAAGCACAATGTACCATGTGTATGAAAACCATCGATTTGTCGCAAATGGGAGAGAGTGCATTAACATCGCATGCGAGGGGTGCAAAGCACCTAAAAAATCTAGACATCAAGTCGTCATTGACGAAGTGTGGCCTTGCATTTGTCAGACAGGAAGGAACTATAAATGTCAAAACTGAAAATTGCAGTAGATCTGATTCAAATAATAACATTGTGCCATCCCAATCCACAACGGAAACTGTGCATGACATGACAATACCACCCCCACCCACTTCTAGTAATCATTGATTTGTGACTGAATCAAACATTCTAAGAAAGGGCTTCAAAGAAAAGAAACTGGAAGTTGAGGAAATTGGAAGAGAAATCCAAAAAAGAAAGGAAAAACTAGATAGAGTTGTGTGAATTTTCTCAATCACCTATATGTTACAGTTTTGGTGTTCATATATTCTACTGACTGTGCTGATTTTCTTAATATAGTCACTGTTTTGCAATTCTAGTCATTTGAACCTTAAATTGAAATACACATGTTTTATTTACATGTTTTATATCACAGATATGGTTGTAAAAGTATAATTTTAAATAAGATCAATTGCAATAAAAATGTATATCACAGATATGGTTGTATAAGTATAATTTTAAATAAGATCAATCGGGAAAAAAATGCCTTGAAAATGACAATTTTACCTTGAAAAGTCCTTGAAAAGTCCTTGAATTTTGATTTGAGAATTTTGTATGAACCATGTACAATATCTTATATACAATTATTTCCCAGAGTAAGATTTTCTAACAAATACAACCTCTTGAGTGCAACACCTCCCATCCATAACCAGAATCTTTCGTGGACCAAACGGTGTTGCTTTACAAAGGTTATATACTGTATATCTGTTATCATATGTATATTTTGCAGCTTATAAATGACAGACAGCAAGAAAAGCTATGTCAAGATCAGTGGTCTAACAATTAAAGAATGCAGTCAACATAGAAAAACATGGAGTCCAAAATATGGAGAGAAACTGCTTTTAGCATGTGAGGACCTTAATGATACGTCAAGAACAACAACAGATGTAGAGGTCAGGGTGTTTGAAGTGCTGCGGACAGATAATGGACAGACAGTGGGCCAGGCACCAAGTGGATTATGCTCGTATTTTAGCAGTTTTCTAAAAGAGGGCGGGCATATTACAGCTGAAGTAACAAATACAAAATTTAAAACATACGATAATGTACAGGAGATTAATTGTGACTATATACTTCAAGGACCATACAATCCTGCCACCGAGAAGATTATAAATGATCTTAAACAAGGTAATAAAAATTGTTGTATTAGTTTATACATAATTTATTTTAGTTTGATTGTAAAATTTTAAAGTTAATTATAATATTGAAAGGAATTATTGCAAACTTAATTTGACTTTCACCTGTTTACTCACTATATACATGTACTTTTGCATGGGCATAATTTCCCTTTAATGTTGTAATGCTATTATTCATGAAAATACAAACTGTAGTCTGTATGTTGAAATGCTAAAAGTAAATATGGAATCAGCATTTAATTGGAGAATAGGAGGAAATAACCCCAAGTTTAAGAATAACACAAAAGTATGATTTTCAATATCTTTCTGGGTATATTCACTATATTTATCAATCATCTTTTGCAAATCTTTCTGTTGAACAATGTAAGAATTTCAAACTTTGTTTTTAGGCTATTGGATCTCAATGGATCTCCTTTAAATAAAATAAAATATTGTAAAAGTTAATATTGGATAATTTCTTTTTACAGCACTACAGGGACCTGGGTTTGAGCTGTACAGTCCAACATTGATATTTAGAGAGGATGAATATTGTTGTTATTTTCACCATGCTGTGTCAAAAGCACCTGATTTGGAGGCAAAGTGCAAGGCGGTACGTAATGTCACTGTTTTATGTACAATGTATGGAACTTTTGTAAAGGTTTATAGTATTGTCAGGGATGGTAAAATCTGGTTCTGACTTGTTTGTCGGTTTTATCTGAAGCATTTCTTATCATGTCCTTATGATAGTCATAAATTCTTGAAATTTTCCACTGTCCATACAGGCTGTGGGATAATCTTTGCAATATGAATAATTGATTTTGGCGCCCCTGATTGTATTTCGATACTCTTTTGATGTCTCCTTCCATTTAAGTAAACAGAGAATACAGTTCTTGGAAATATAAATATTCAGGTTTATATAAAGATCCACTTTCCTAGGATACGAATATTGTTAGATTGAGACAGAACCATAAAATACGTTCTTTGACATAAAGCCTGCTATTTTGTATTACTGCCTTTTAAGTTTTATCAATCAGTTAAATTATTTTCTCATTGTAAAATTACATAATATCATCATTTAAACATTTCTGATGAATAAATTCCTAATATTTTATTTACATGACATTGTACATTTATGGGGTTCGATGACTTCTAATCCAGTTACCTCTCTGGCATGGGTTCTATCCCCGGGAGATGCTTTGGTAGTTTAGCACGGTGGAAGGTAGTCTTGTACTGGTGTAACTCTCCAGGAACGATGGTTAGGAAACTACCCGCCTGTATGACTGAAATACTGTTGGTAAAGGCATAAAATGAAAAAAAAAAAAAAAAATGAATCCAGATTAACCATGCATGAAATAATCTTTATCAGATATGATAATCAAAATTTATAATATTCTCAGATGTCAAAATACCCGAAGAGAATACGGACTCGAGCACCCTGCACTCCTCATACGTCAAACGTGGATCCTCGATGTAGTTATCACGAGAACTCCACGTTACAGAGGAAACACGTGACTGAAACAACTCAACTTGTTACTACAGATGTAAATTTTTTTGTTTGTTGTTTTATTCCACATCTAGATCTTATTTTATGCTTGAGGGGCACTTGGGTCTTCTTCACCAGTAAAGTCACCATAATAAAATATGACCTGTACTGTGTTGTTGCAACATAAAAGTGATTGATTCTGCTAGGTTCACACTGCAATTCTCTCAATCTCTGCTAAAGTGTTTTTTAATGTTACCTAGAAAACCCACAGATAGTATTTCAAACATCTACAGTTTATTTATGTCATATAATGTCAATCATAAATACTAATTCATTGGCCGAGTGGTTAAAGTTCATTGACTTCAAACCACTTGCCCCTCACCGCTGTGGGTTCGAATCCTGACAGGGACTTTGAATTCTTTCATGTGAGGAAGCTATCCAGCTAGCTTACGGAACGTAGGTGGTTTTACTCAGGTGCCCGTTCATGCAAGGAAGGGCACCTGAGGTCTTCCTCCACCAGTAAAGCTGGAACGTCGCTAAATTACCTATACTGTGTCGGTGTGAAACCCAACCAAACAAACAAATAAATACTAATATGGTCATAGAAACCAGTCAGACATGGACACCCCTTATAATACTTGTATGCAGATCTAAACAAAGTTTATGTAATTGAAATGCTAGAGGTGAAATTTATATGATTATTGATCGGTGTATTAATTGATTAAATATTAATTGACACAAGTATAATTATAATCTCAAAATTTAGAGTCACAAAGTAAATTTTTGAATTGTCCTGTTGATTCTATTTTAAAACTATTGTTTAAAGGTCAAATTTTTTGTTTCATTTTTAAGCATCAAGAAAATCCATATCAATTTAATCGTATTTTTTTTTTTTCAGAATGTTCCGAAATATTTGACAAGACAGAGATCAAGAAAGATAATCACGTCCCCAGTTTCTGCATCATGTCCGGCTGAATCTGTCTGTGCACCACTAAATCAAGATTCCACACCACTAGATCAAGAATGTACATCACTAGATCAAAATTCTATATCACTAGATAAAGTTTCTACATGTACACCACTAGAACAAGTTTCTACAACACTAGATCAAAATTCTACAGCACTAGAACAAGGTCCTATGCCTATGGAACAAACAGTTTCTACCGGACTAGAAGAAATTCCTACACCACTCGATCCAAAAAATGAAACACAGAAAAATGGTATGTCACAAATTACTAAGCTTATAATGTCAGTACTGATAAAAAAATGGAAAAAAAAATCTTATAACGCAAGGCCTCTTCACCTATTGGAGCTAAGAGATTCATAGACCCCAAAAATTCAAATCCATTTAGTCGCCTCTTAGGATCACTCAGGGATAAACGGCTGCATTTCTGAATCCTCAACTGTTAAAGGGTTACTTAAGTTAACTTTGAAAAATAGCATTTTTATCTGTTTCACGGAGATGATTTATCTCATAAGAACTTAGTTATAAATTCCCTTTAAAACATTTGTTATTAAAATAATTTTGTCTTTTTCAAGCTGATGTGTTACCCGAGGAGCTTGATAATGATCCCTGGACCAGACAGATATATGAAAGTTCTTTAGAACAAGGACAGGAAGTTGATTTCACAATGAGGCTCATGATTATTGGTTGCTATGGACAAGGCAAAACTTCACTTGCTAAAAGATTAATGGGTCAGTCGGCTGAAGGTGTTGAAACAACAAACGGTATTGAAGTAAATAAATGTGAAATTTTAGACGAAGGATTCAAATGGGAACAAAAAGTTACTGAAGATGCAGCCACGGAATGTATCAAGCGTCTAGTGTCAATTTCCAAATCAAATTCATCAGCATCATTGAAAAGCTTGAATACAGATGAAGAGATGGACATGTCTAATGAAATAGATACTCAGTCTGATAAAGTTGAGGATGAAAATGTTGTAACTGATATGGATATTGATACTAATTCTTGTGTGGACTTGAAAGTAAAAAGAGAAGGTTGTTTGAAATTTAAGGGAACAAATAAGGCAAGAGTAGAGAAAGAACAAGACAAGATGGATTCTGATAAAACTAAAATTTCCACAAATTCTGCAAGAAAGAGAATTGATTCGGCTAATGTTAAAAGGTTTTCTACAGAACTTCGTAAATCTATCAGTTTTGAGAAACAAAGTTCAAAAGAGAACACTAAAACTCTTAGCATTTGGGACTTTGGTGGACAGTTTGTATACTATGCGACTCATCAGTTATTTCATTCCAGACACGCTATTTATCTTCTTGTATTCAGTTTGAATGAAAGCCTTGATACCGTGATTACAGACAACGAAAAACCGAGAACTGTTAAACCGAAAACTATGAAGGAGTACATAAAGTTCTGGATCAGTTCAGTACATTCTTTCGTAGGAAATAATCAAGGTACGGAACCAACTGTGATATTAGTAGGAACCAAAAAAGATTTGCTCAACCCTGATGTGGATATTGAACAAAAATTCGAAGACGTAAGAAAACTTTTTGACGGGAGTAAAATGCTTCATCACTTGTTACCGGACCATTTTGCAGTCTCAAATTTTGAGGAATCTAGTAAAGAAATAACAAAACTATGCGAATGTGTAAACTATCTAATACATAATAAGTGTCAAAATAACTTAATTTCTGCTCGATGGATTCCGTTGGAACGAAAATTGAAGGAGAACCGTGACCTGAAGATTGTAAACTTCAAGACGGTATTAGAATATAATAATGATAATGAAGTTCCCGTAGAGGATGAAGACGAGGTAAAATTATTTCTCAAGTATCATCATGCTCGCGGCACTTTCTTTTATTTCGATGATGGAGAAGCATCGCAAGTCGTATTGGAACCGCAATATATTGTCGACGCTTTTAAATGTTTACTCACTTCGGAACGATTTTGTATCGTGCGACCTAGTTTAAGGGAGTCTTGGCACAAACTTTGCGGCAAAGCCATCCTCGATCAAGACCTTCTACATGATGTATGGGGTAAAGATCCACAGCTAGATTTCTTGAAGTTTGAGGATGTTTTGATATTCTTTCTAAGAAAGCATCGAATAATCGCAGAAGCTTTAAAGTTTGAAGATAGTAACACTACTGTACATCCTGAATCGCTGGGATTCTTTATTGTACCTAGCCTTCTTAGTAAGCCAGACGAAGGCCTTATAGAAACATTCATGAAAGGAAAAGAAAGGACTCAAGTCTCCATTGTATATGTTTTTGAAAATGAATCGGTCATACCAACTTTATTTTACAAGGTGGTGGCGGCTGCTTGTGGTCAGTGGCCTCTCATTGAATTTCTAAACGAACCATTGATTTTCGAGAATGCTGTATTATATAAACTGAGCCTCGATCAAGCTGGTTTATTAAAAATGGATCGTAACACCATTGAAATACTAGGTATAGGACTATGTCCACCACACAAGGTCAATGTTAAAGACTGCGACATGTTTAGAAGGTTTGTTGAAATGGTTATTGGTCAAGAATTTAGAAAATTCCGTGACAACTGCTCTACAGATGAAGAGCATAGCATGTATACACAGTCAATACGATGCTACCATAAAACCCACGGCATGATGGGAAGTAAAAACACAGTAGATCTTGAATCTCTTAAACAAGCCAATAAAAGACGAACTGGCTGTCCGGATCACGAAAATCATTCCCTGCGTGGAAACAAGATTGTAAAAGAGTGGTACAAAATTGGTATCGATACACGTTCAATTCCCCAGCGACGACTGAGAAAATGTGAATTAAGCGAAATATCGATGATGATGGAAGAGAACTGGCAGCATCTTGGTATACAGTTAGGTTTTGATAAAGGGGAAATTGAGCAGATTGATATGATTACTAGATTAACCACATCTATGAAGATCTTTGAAATGTTAAGCCGGTGGGATAATAGGGAAATTGAAAATGCGACTCTGAATGTTCTAATAGCTGCTATGAATAAATGCAAGAAAGTTTTAAAAACGGACAAAGATGTTCTGAGAAATATAATAGATAATTTTGATAGCTAAAGGCGCCTGCTTGCCTGGACAAGGGTCACATTAGCTTGCCTGGACAAGGGTGAACATTACAGTGTATCAGGATCTGTGATAGTGGGTTTGAGTTCACCTGGAATAACAACTATGTTTTTTCCTGGTAGGCCAGTACAGGAGTTATGTTTAACTTATAATCTGATCTTTCTGTTTTTCCGTTAAATAATTATGCTCATATATTTGAACTTGTTTACAGTTGAGGCAAATATTTGAACTTGTTTACAGTTAAGGCAAATATTTTAACTTGTATACAGATGAACAAATATTTAAACTTGTTTACAGATGAGGCAAATATTTTAACTTGTTTACAGATGTGGGAAATATGTTAACTTGTTTACAAATGAGGCAAATATTTAAACTTGTTTACAGATGAGGCAAATATTTTAACTTGTTTACAGTTGAGGCAAATATTTAAACTTGTTTACAGATGAGGCAAATATTTTAACTTGTTTACAGATAAGGCAAATATTTAAACTTGTTTACAGATGAAGGAAATATTTTAACTTGTTTACAGATGAGAGAAAATATTTTAACTTGTTAAGTCTTGTATACAGATGTGGGAAATATGTTAACTTGTTTACAGATGAGGCAAATATTTAAACTTGTTTGCAGATGAAGGAAATATTTTAACTTGTTTACAGATGAGAGAAAATATTTTAAGTTGTTTACAGATGTGGGAAATATGTTAACTTGTTTACAGATGAGGCAAATATTTAAACTTGTTTACAGATGAAGAAAATATTTTAACTTGTTTACAGATGAGAGAAAATATTTTAAGTTGTTTACAGATGTGGTGAATACCTAAACTTGTTTATAGACGAGGCAAATATTTTTTTGCTTTGCTTGTTAAGGACATGACACAATTTTGACTATGTTAAGGACATAATTTAACTATGTTAAGGACATAATACAATTTTTACTATGTTAAAGACATTATACAATTTTTAGCTCACCTGTCACAAAGTGACAGGGTGAGCTTTTGTGATCGCTTTTCGTTCGGCATCCAAATTGTCCGTCTGTAAACTTTTACTTTAAATGACATCTCTCATAAACCACTAAGCCAATTTCATCCAAACTTCACAGGAATGTTCCTTTGGTGGTCACCTTTAAAAATTGTTCAAAGAATTTAATTCCATGCAGAACTCTGGTTGCCATGGCAACCGAAAGAAAAAACTTTAAAGATCTTCTTTTAAAAAACCCAAAGAGCTAGAGCTAAGATATTTAGCATGAAACATCTTCTAACGAGTGTCTACCAAGTTTGTTCAAATAAAAGCCCTGGGGTCAAAATTGGCCCCGCCCCAGGGGGTCATTGATTTTCCCTATATGCATATAGTAAAAACTTAAAAATCTTCTTTGAAAAAACCCAAATAGCTAGAGTTTAGATATTAAGCATGAAACATCTTCTAGTAAGTGTCTACAAAGTTTGTTCAAATAAAAGCCCAGGGGTCAAAATTGGACCCGCCCGGGGGTCATTGATTTTCCTTGTATGTGTATAGCAAAAACTTAAAAAATCTTCTTTGAAAAAACCCAAATAGCTAGAGTTTAGATGTTAAGCATGAAACATCTTCTAGCGAGTGTCTACAAAGTTTGTTCAAATAAAAGCCCTGGGGTCAAAACTGGCCCCGCCCCAGGGGTGTCATTGTTTTTAACTATATGTGTATAGTAAAAACTTAAAAAAATCTTCTTTGAAAAAACCCAATGAGCTAGAGCTTAGATGTTTAGCATGAAACATCTTATTGGTGTCTACTAAGTTTGTTCAAATAAAAGCCCTTGGGTTAAAATTGGCCCTTGGGGGGGGGGGGGGGGGGGGGGGCTATATACAGGTGAGCGACCTCAGGGCCCTCTTGTTAATATTTCTATTTTGAATATCTGATCTCCTGGTACTGTGTTCATAAATATCTAAGGATCTAGATCTGAATCAAATATTATATTTCAAAATTTCTCCATTTATTTTCATAGATTATATTTTTAATACTAACATGAATATGGAATGGCACGAGATCATGAATTTTTAAAAAATTCTTAAAATTTACTTTACACAATTATTATGCATGTTTAAAATTTGATCAAATTATTGATATAGATCCTAAATTTGATTCTTTTTTATATGGTTTGAATTATTTTACTTGTGTATTGTTATTTTAAAGTTATCCCATAGCTAGATTGTTTCTTTACAAATCACCAAATGCTTCAGATTTTGTTATAATATCTAGGGGTGTAACAAAAAAAAGAAAAAAAACCGTATTGAAATTTTGAAAATTTTTTTATACGTATGGAAAATAAAATTTGCAATACGTATTTTTCGGTATTTTTTAGGGAAAAGATGGAAAAATTTTATAATTTTATTATAGTAAAATTTTTTTTAGAAACTTAAAAAAAATTTAAAGGGAAAAAAATAAAAAAGTAGTGTCACACAATTTGATAAACAAAACTAGTCGCGTGTCACCTTTCACATAAGGGCCAACAAAATTTGCCAATTCAAGATTTTATGTGAAATTTGTACGAAATTAGAAGGCAATTAATTGAAAATGATGATTTTTATAAAATACCGGTTTTCCAAAAATCGTACCGCGGTTCGAAATTTATTTTTTCATATTGCAATATATCGGTATACCGGTAAACCGTTGCACCCTTAATAATATCACATTGATTAAGCTGATGATGATCTATTTTTCATAAAGCAATGAATTTAGGATCATTTGATTGAGATTTCTTTCTTAATGAACATGTGGCCCAATCTTTTGTATGTATTATAGGGCAGGAGTTTTCTGTGATCTCATTTTTTTATGCCACCGCAGCATCTGCGATGCGGTGGCATATAGCGATTCACCTGTGTGTGTGTGTGTGTGTGTGTGTGTTTGTTTGTGTGTGTGTGTGTTATATAGATTATATAGTGAACTTAAAAAATCTTCTTGTGAAAAACCACTTGTCCAATTTCAACCAAACTTTGCAGGATTGATCCTTGGGTGAAGGGCTCACAAAGTTGTTCAAAGAATTTCATTCCATGCAGAAATCTGGTTGCCATGGCAACCAAAAGGAATTATAAGAATAAATTTAAAAAATCTTCTTGTAAAGACCCAAAAGGCCTAGAGCTTAGATATTTTGCATAAGGCATTGTCTGGTAGACCTCTACCAAGATTGTTCAAATTATAGCCCTGGGGTCAAAATCGGCCCCGCCCCGGGGGTCATTGATTTTCACTATATGTACATATAGTAAAAACTTAAAATACCTTCTTGTAAAGACCCAAAAGGCCCAGAGCTTAGATATTTTGCATAAGGCATTGTGTAGTGAACCTCTAGCAAGATTGTTCAAATTATAGCCCTGGGGTCAAAATCGGCCCCGCCCGGGGGGTCATTGAATTTCACTATATGTACATATATAGTAAAAACTTAAAATACCTTCTTGTAAAGACCCAAAAGGCCTAGAGCTTAGATATTTTGCATAAGGCATTGTGTAGTGAACCTCTAGCAAGATTGTTCAAATTTTAGCCTTGGGGTCAAAATCGGCCCGCCCCTGGGGTCATTGGTTTTCTTTATATGTATATTGTAAAAACTTACAGTAAAAACTTTAAAAAAATTTCTTCTAGCAATTGACAAATGCTAGAGGTTAGATATTTTGCATGAAACATTGTGTAGTGAACCTCTAGCAAGATTGTTCAAATTATAGCCCTGGGGTCAAAATTGCCCCTGCCACGGGGGTCCTTGATTTCCAATATATACATATAGTAAAAAAATGAAAAAATATTATTGTCTGAAGTACAAGGCTTAGAGCTTTAATATTTGTTAAATGATATCATCTATAGGTACTCTACCAAAGTTGTTCAAATTTTGCCTCTAGTGTCAAAATTAGCCCCGCCCCGGGGGCCATAGGGTTTTCCTTATATGTGTATAATAAAAACTTAAAAAATCATCTTCTCTAAATTTACAAATGCTAGAGTTAAGATATTTTGCATGAAACATTGTGTAGTGAACCTCTAGCAAGATTGTACAAATGATAGTCCTGGTGTCAAAATTGGCCCAACCCCCAGGGGTCAATGATTTTCACTATGTACATATAGTAAAAAAATAAAAAATCATCTTGTCTGATGGTACAAGGCTTAGAGCTTTGATATTTGGTATATAATATCATCTATGGGTCCTCTACTAAGGTTGTTTTAATTATGCCCCTAGTGAAAAAATTGCCCTGCCCTAGAGGCGATAGTTTTCCTTATATGTATAAAGTAAAAACTTGAAAAATCTTCTTCGCTGAATTGACAATGGCTAGAGGTTAAATTTATGGCAGGAGACTTTAGGAAGTGAACCTCTACTAAGATTGTTCAAATTATAGCCCTGGGGTCAAAATTGGGTCCGCCCCGGGTTCATTGATTTTCATTATGTACATATAGTAAAAAAAAAATAAAAACTATTTTTGTCTGAAGCTACAAGGCATAGAGCTTTGATGTTTGCTATATAATATCATCTGTAGGTCCTCTACCAAAGTTGTTCAAATTTTTCCCCTGGTGTCAAAATCGGCCCTGCCTGGGGGCATTGATTTTCATTTAGTACACATAATAAAAACAGAAAATAAAACAAATGTTTTCTGAATGGGAGAAAGCTACAGCTTAGATATTTGACTTGAAATGTTGTTTGGTGGACCTGTATCAAGATTGTTTTGAATTAAACCCTTGGGTCAAAATTTTGCCTTGCCCAAGGGGACAGTGACCTACTTTCTTGTCCTTTGATGTACAGCAATTAAATTTTGACCATGTGCACAGTTTAAGTTGTAAAATAAAATTGAACTTTTATATCAAGTGACCTAGATTTTGATTATGTGACCGACTTTCTTGTCCTTTGATGTACAGCTATGAAATGTGAACCATGTGCACAGATTAAGATGTAAAGTGAACTTTGATTATCAGCTGACCTAGATTTTGACAAAGTGTCTTACTGTGTTGTCCTTTGATGTAGTCATGAAATTTAGGCTGTCGTCTGCTTATCTTTCTGCAAGGGAATGCTAGCAGTTTATAGTAATACTTTGGCTTTGCATTGGTACCGGCTCATCCAGACAATAATACACGAGGTTAATAAAAGACCCGTTCTTCAACAGCATTTGTTCCTACACTTCAATTTGTGTAATGCGGTGGCATTATAAGCATTTCTCAAATGCAATCTTGTTTTTAGAGAGTAGCCAAGCTAAATGCTTTATCCAGTAATGTAATGTTTATATTTTTATAATGACATTTATATCACCAGTAAGTTATTTTTCTAGTCTAACCAAATATGACATTAAATGTGTTCATTGACTTTAATAAAAGTTTTATTACAACTTACATATTTGTGTTATTCCTTTTTTCCAAGTATGCAAATTATTGTGAGCCCTTTTCCCAGTGTCATCATGAGTTAGAATATCAGACCCATTCCCAATGGCAAACATGCTTATTTTTCTCCCAATCTTAAAAATAAATTCCCAATCCAACTGATTAATTCACATTATCAAATTTGCAGACGTTCATTCTGGTATCTAATAAACAGATGTTTCCTCACATTTTATTTTCAAATATTATGTTATTCTTTGACTGATACATGTATTTGTGTATGTTACAGTAAACATTGTCGCACAATTCAAATACTGCGCTAAAAGTGCCTGAAAAAGAGGTTTCAAATGATACCAAAAATATTTTACCCAATTAACCTTTTACCTCATAGACTTGTTTTGAAGGCTTTTCACTCCCCCCCCCTCCTCCCCCTCTTGAGGCCTCGGGAAGTTAAAAATGCCCTTTTTAGGCCCCAAACACTGTTTTTCGTTTGAGAAAAGTTGTAACAAAAAATGATAATCACTTTTTCGGTGCCGCCCCCTATCAAAAAGGTACATCAAGGTGATGCTAGAGGGGGGATATGCCCCCTCCTATTTGGGGATGTTGCCAAAACAATTTTGGACATGTGACAGGCTAAAAAAATGGCCTCCGGTCGATCTGAAGATAATGGGTAACCAACGCTGAAAAGCCTTTGACTCTATCTCAATCCTTTGAGAAGTTGCAGCACTTAAAAATCAGTTTTGATGGAAAAATGGGGGGGGCGAGAGAGAAGCCGTTTTTTTCATGAGCAAGAAACTTTTGTCTTTTGTTTAACACCATTTCAAACACCTTAGGAGATGAATTAATACAAGTATTTGATACTTATTTTCATGGCAGTGTCAAACATTAATATTTGGGTATATTCAAGATTTATGTACTTCAAACTATTTGTAATGTACCCCTAGTATTATTTTGTGAAGGAAATATTGTATTGTTGGGTTCTGTAAGCTAGCTGGATAGCTTCCTCTCATGAATGAATCCAAAGTCCCTGTCAGGATTCAAACCCACAGCGGTGATGGGCAAGTGGTTTGAAGTCAACGACCTTAACCACTCGGCCACAGACGCCCCATATGGGTGGCTAAGCTTTTTATAGAAAACAACAGAAAAACATTGCACCTAAAATGTCTTACTTGTTGTAAAGTTCTATTAGTTCTCTGACCATGATCTGCCAATCTGCTAACCTACCTCTTTAATTTTAAATCCTAGATAGGAAACACTGCATATCTTATAATGTTTTTATTATCTTCATCTTTTATTTATGAATATTATTAATAATAATTGTGTAATCTTAACATTATTCTAACAATAACCTGTATTTTTTCAACAATAACTTGTTTCAAAGTTTGCATCCTTAAAATACATTTAAAAAATAATTTTAAAAAAAGGTGCTAAATAAGAAATATCAACAGTTGCTAAAAAATGTGCTTGAACAAAACTATTTCAATAGTGCTTGAACAAAACCATTTCAATAAGGAACTTTTTTTTTGAAGTCATGTTGATTAGAGATTTGAGCCGCGTCATGACAAAACCAACATAGTGGGTTTGCGACCAGCATGGATCCAGACCAGCCTGCGCATCCACGCAGTCTGATCAGGATCCATGCTGCTCGCCTACAAACCCTACTACAAGTAGAGAAACTGAAAGCGAACAGTATGGATCCTAATCAGACTGCGCAGATGCGCAGGCTGGTCTGGGTCCATGCTGGTCGCAAACCCACTATGTTGGTTTTGTCGTGACGCGGCTCATTTTTCACAATGGAATGTCATTCATCAATATTGATACTGTGGAGCATGTATTTCAAGTAACAATTCATAAATATAAACCATAATAAATTTGGTCAAAATATGCAAACTAGAGCTCCGAGGACAGCGCCCTTTTCTTCCAGGAACTTGATCGCAAAATAAATGCCTGGATAATGTAGAAATTCATTACGACAATATATCATAAAACATCTAGATGTCAAGAGTTATGGCTCTTTGAAAATGATATTTAATCATAATACTAAGTCAAGTTCCAAATGAAGAAATTTCATGCTTGTGTCAATAATACTGCATTTAAAACTTTAATCAGTATTTCTTTAATTTCACAAAGTGCTGTACTTAAGTTGTAAAAATGTTAAGAGAATTAAATGGAGCACAAATTCAATTCTTGCTATGTAATTGGAGAATCAAATGGAGCACAATTTTTGCTATGTAATTGGTTTGTGTTAAAGAACACACTAATTTGTACAAAACAAACATATGCAGGACCAAACCTTTTGTAAATGAACATTAAAATTTGAAATTGACTGAACGTACCAGAAACAAAAATATGACTGACTTAATATTATTGTCAGCTGGCCTAACTGTAGATATTTATATTTAATCAAAAATAATTATTCTTTATTTTTATGTTTCTTCTTTTTCTTTTCTTTCTTTCTACTTTTAGAAGTGTCTTCAAAATCTGCTGAACTGTCCATGTCTATTTCCACAACTTTCTTTTGCTTTTTTAGTTTCTTTACCGGACTTGGTTCAGCAAAGTCCAAATCCTGTTTAACAACCTTTTCTTTTATTAATGTAAAATTACTCTCCCCATGAGTTCTCTTCCTGGATTTCTTATGCTTATTTTCAATTTCATGTTTAGAATCTGTCACATCACTTTCATTAATTGAACACTCGGTTGTAGGATCAAGACTGTCGCTCTGAAGTAAACTGTTGGGATCAATTTCACTATCGTTTGTATCATTTGAAACTTTATGCTTCTTTTTGTGCTTCTTGCTCTTCTTTTTACCTCCCTCGTTATTATTGACGTCATCAACCTGTGTGCTAGTAAATAACGGTTCACAAGACGTCAATGAAGCAATACTGTCGTCTATATCTAAGCCACCATTAACTAAACTTACATCTTCCTCAGTTACCTTCCTCTTTTCTTTTTTATGTTTCTTCTTACTTTTTCTAGGTGATTCTTCTTCTAATGTACCATTTACTGACAAATAATCCTTATCATGTTTTAGAGTGTCAGAAAGACCGTCATGACTCAGTTCAGCCACTTCTTTTTGGTGTTTCTTTTTCTTTTTTGGAGTTACAATGTCATTATCCTCAATCCCTGTATTTTGCTCAATTACTGTACCTTCTGCAGCATCCACATCCTTTTTCTTTCTTTTTCGTTTATCACTTTCAGATAAAGGCGTAATTAATAAAACCCTGCTATTTTCTCTGTGAAAAGAAAAAATAAAAATACATGTTCAATTGTGACAAAAATCTACAATAGGTTTTTTAAATAAGAGGTTTAAATTTAAAAATTTCCCTAATAAATTTTAATAAAGCACTAAAAATTTAATTAAAATCCAACCTAAAATTTTTTTTATTAAGAAAAAAACATTAAATTTAAGACATTATGGGGCAATTAATTTTCAAAATATCATTTGAAAATTAAGATAACATTTGGTTTTATTTTTTTTAGTTTTTTCAAAAATTCTGTTTATTGTAATGTTTAGGGTTTTAAATTTTAAAATTTCGAAAGATATTATTGGGAATTACAGATACCATTTATTCAATTACATATAACATAAGTTCAATTACATATATCATAAGTTCAATTACATATATCATTAAGTTCAATTACATATATCATATATTTAATTACTGATACCATAAGTTTAATTACATATATCATATATTTAATTACTGATACCATAAGTTCAATTACATATAATAAAGATATAATATAATTAATTAAAGATACCATGTATTCCATTACATATATCATACATTCAATTAAAGATACCATTTATTCAATTACATATATCACAGGTTCAATTAAAGATATCATATATTTAATTACAGATACCAGATGTTCAATAACTGATGTCATAAGTTCAATTAAAGATGTCATATATTAAATTAAAGCTATCATTATTAAATTACAGATATCATTACTGATTAGTTTAATTACATATATCACAGGTTCAATAACAGTCAGAGTCTTTTACAGGTATAATAGGGTATATTATTAAGATCATATAATAAATTTTCAATACGAGTTATCACATAAATAGTTTTTGAATGTTCATAATGCTCAGTTTCAGGTTATAACAAGTCACAGTTTTGTTCATTATCTTTCCTCATATTCTAAAATACACGTATTAGTTTCATGTCTTTTACAACATATCAAACAAATTAATTAATAATCAGTATCAGCACGATTCCAAAAATAAATAAATCAGTCATCATTTTATACTTATAACTCAATAAGCAAACTAACAAAGAAGAAAGTCTTGAACAGCATTACAATGGATATTTCAACTTTCATGCACCAATGGGCATCATGAAGAACCGTCAACTATCCGAAGGCTAGCTGGATAGCATGCTCACATGATGGTATACAAAGTTCGAGGTGCCAGGGATTCGAACCCACAGCGAGTAAAGGGCAAGTACAAATTTACACATATTATATTTATTGCCAAAGCCTTACATTTTGTCATATATAATCAAGAATCCTATCAAATTAATAATTTATGCTTCCTTTTATTTTGATCATTACTTTGTTGAACAGACATTACTACAGATACTTTAAATTTCCAGCTTTAATGGTGAATGTAGAAAAATATATTGGTCATTAGCCAACTTTTACCATGGGGTTCAAACCCACCGGTGAGGGGCAAGTTATGTGAGGCCAGTTTCCATATCAACCTTGCCATGGTTGATAGAGAAGACTCTGTTAGACTTAAAGTGGCTCCAACTTAGTCTGGACCATTGTAAAGAGTGTTTTGAGCATTCATTATACAACATTCTAAAATATCAAACTTGCCATCTCTTTAACATATCCTAAATTAAAATCATGGCTGCAAAGGCAAATTTTAAAGTCCCAAACAAAAAGCCTTTCAACAAACTAATTTTACAGTAGAATAAATAAATTATAGAATGAAAGACTTACATGTCAGGTGATAGAAACCTTTCAAATTTTCCTCTGATTGAAACCACATTTCTATCTGTGGAAACTTCTTGAACTGATATCTCTATTTCTGCTCCCATTAAAATATCAGCGGACAATTTTTCTGTGCTTGACATGTGAGGTGTCCAGGCATTAAAATGATTGTGCACTAAACATCCAATATGCCTTTTGCTTATCTTGTTTACCTTTGCTGTAAGCCAATCAAAATTAACATATCATTATTCAACTTTGATGTAAACCAATCAAAATCTAGATAACAATATTTAACTTTGATGTAAACCAATCAAAATCTAGATATCAATGACTTTTGCTGTGAACTAACCGAAATCTAGATATCACTTTTTAACTTTGTTCTGAGCCAATCAAAATCTAGATATCAATATTTAACTTTGTTCTGAGCCAATCAAAATCTAGATATCTATATTTAACCTTGCTGTTAACCAATTAAAATTTAGATATTAATATTTAATATTGCTGTAACCAATCAAAATTTAGAAATCAATATTAGACACTGCTGTAAACCAATCAAAATTTAGAGATCAATATCAAACATGGCTTAAACATTGTTGTAAACCAATCAAAATCTAGAATCTTGTATGCTGAACTATAATGTACTAATAGACATGTGTCTTGGTAAAACAGCTTATCTATGGACCTTTCCAGTGTTTACAGTTTTATGTAAATTGACTAACTTGTTATCCAATTGCTACACTGAGATAATACAATACATAGTCTCTGGTTGACCTGGTTTGCACAAAAGAACACTTGGTTATGTTTGTGATACTGTTTGTGAGCAGTTGACCAAGCAATGAATGGAAAAGGTGTGGCTAAATGTTCTGCTACGAAAAACTGGAAAACTAGCTGGATAACTTGTTTATATTAGAAAAATTTCAAAGACCAAGACTGGTAATAAACAGGGATAATCAACCACAACAAAACCACCATGCAGGCCTGATTTTGCGGAAATATGTAAAATTTAGGCTCAATTCCAGGAAGTAGAACTCATGGATCACAGATGACAGGCAAATTAAATTTGATTGTATATATCAATTTGTTTAAATAAATTGAACAAACCATTCAGTTTTTGGCCAACGGCTGGCTTGAAAATGATAAAATCTGCTTCAATGTCAAAATGTATACAAGTATGGTCGGAAATAATCTTGCCAAATTGCTGAAGTGCTCAAACATTTGTGTATGCCAAGGGAAATCCATCCAACCTGTAATAAAGAAATGAATACTGAAATAATATAATATATATATTCAAACACATTTGAAATGGAACCAGGTAGATGGATCGCAGATAATAGGCACATTAAATACTAATACTACAAGAGCCACCGCAGGGCGGGGGCAACGCTCGACTTTTTACTTTTTCTAAACACAAACATAGAAAGGTTTGAACATATCTTAACGTTTCCTTTTTATAAATTTAGTTGGTCTGTCTTGTCACATTAGTTTTGTTTATCTATTTTGTATATATATATGAATAGAAACACGCAATTCTATAAATAGAAACACGCAATTCTATAAATAGAAACACGCAATTTCTAAAAATAGTAACACGCAATTCTAAAAATAGTAACACGCAATTCTAAAAATAGAAACATTATGCAATTTCTAAAAATAGAAACATTATGCAATTTCTAAAAAATAGAAACATTACGCAATTTTTAAAAATAGATAAAAATAGAAACATTACGCAATTTCTAAAAATAGATAAAAATAGAAACATGACGCAATTTCTATAAATAGAAACATGACGCAAATTGTATAAATAGAAACATGACGCAATTTCTATCAATAGAAACATTACGCAATTTCTAAAAATAGAAACATTACACAATTTCTAAAAATAGAAACATTACGCAATTTCTATAAATAGAAACATTACGCAATTCTAAAAATAGAAACATTACACAATTCTAAAAATAGAAACACGCAATTTCTAAAAATAGAAACATGCAATTTCTAAAAATAGAAACAATACGCAATTTCTAAAAATAGAAACATTACGCAATTTCTAAAAATAGAAACATTACGCAATTTCTATAAATAGAAACATTACGCAATTCTAAAAATAGAAACATTACACAATTCTAAAAATAGAAACACGCAATTTCTAAAAATAGAAACATGCAATTTCTAAAAATAGAAACAATACGCAATTTCTAACAATAGAAACATTTCGCAATTTCTAAAAATAGATAAAAATAGAAACATGACGCAATTTCTATAAATAGAAACATGACGCAATTTCTATAAATAGAAACATGACGCAATTTCTAAAAATAGAAACATGACGCAATTTCTATAATAGAAACATGACGCAATTTCTATAAATAGAAACATGACGCACCTTTCTATAAATAGAAACATGACGCAATTCTATAAATAGAAACATGACGCAATTTTATAAATAGAAACATGACGCAATTCTATAAATAGAAACATGTTGTTGTTGTTGTTGATGATGATGATGATAGATAGATATGTATATATATATATAAATATACACACACACACCAATAAATATATAATTATGGTCATTTAATGCACAAATCTGAGAAAATTCAGTAATTTAACGTTCAAGGTCAAGGTCATTAAAGAGCCCAAGCAAATTTGGGTTTGATAAAAAAACGAGGTCTGGTCCTTAAGAATGTTCTGTTATAATATGAAGTTGATCCCTTCAATAATAGCAAAGTTACAGTCAGGTACCGCCAAAACAATGAAAATTTCAATAATTTGACCTTCAAAGACAATGTCATTAATGAGTGAAGGTCAAGGTCTTTCGGTATATTTTTAACAGTTATCTTTGATGATTATTATGTTCAAGTTTCAAGACAATCCATTAAAAAATAACAAAGTTACAGCCAATAATAGCCAAAAAAATGAAAATTTCAATAAATTGACCTTCAAAGTCAAGGTCATTTATGAGTGAAGGTCAAGGTCTGTCTAGTTATTTTTAAGGGATATCCCTGAAGATAATTATGTTCAAGTTTGAAGACAATCCATTCATAAATAACAAAGTTACAGCCAATAATAGCCAAAAAAATGAAAATTTCAATAATTTGACCTTCAAAGTCAAGGTCATTTATGAGTGAAGGTCAAGGTCTGGCGGGTTATTTTTAAGGGATATCCTTGAAGATTATTATGTTCAAGTTTGAAGACAATCCTTTCAAAAAGAACAAAGTTACAGCCAATAACAGCATGAACAAGCAAAAATTGGACTTTTAACCTTGAAGGTCAAGGTCATTTATGGATGAAGGTCAAGGTTAGTGTGGTCTACTGAAAGGTCTTGTCCCAAGGGTTGTTGTGGCCAAGTATGAAGACAATACACCAAGAAATAAAAAAGTTATGATCCAGGTACAAGTTTGCGGACGGCAACGGCAATACCTCTACTTTTTTTTCACAAAAAAAAAAGTCGAGCTAATAACGGACGGCCTAACAGACGACAGACAACATGGTGTCAAAAAAGCTCAACTTATCACTTTGTGACAGGCGAGCTAACAAAAAAATAGAAAAAATGTGGCCAAGCTCAGGAATGCCTCTTCAACTTATAAAGTATGCAGATACAATTTCTATCCCACATTCCACTTTATATTTCTATCTGTTTTTGTTAAGTTCTTATGAAAAAACATGTCAAATTTATTTATTGAAGGCTTACTAATGTTTTTACATGCCTAAGAATAAAGATATACAAAGATAGATACATGTTCACACAATGACCTTGAAATAATATTTTTCTGCTAACAAGTATGGAGTACCTTCAAAATTGAGGTAATGTTGAGGTTCTATCTGATGCAGATCATCATGCTGGTCAAATATGACTGAGGCAATCCTGCGATGTTCACACTGCTTAAACTGGTGAAGAAATTCTGAAACAAAACAAGAGGGCCATGAGGGCCATCAATTACTCACCTGTCATACTGAAACCTAACTATTTCTGCAAATTTCATTGTTAGTTCAAATTTCATTGTTGCAATTTATGGAAGTATGTACATGCAGATTAACAGGGGAACTTAAAATTCAAACTACATGTATAAAATTAGAGATTGCTTTTAAAACTAGACATGTGTCAATGGGACACAGATGACCTCACCACTCTAGGGCCATTATCCCAACTTGACTGAATGCTTTTCAACGTAAAAACTCAGATGCACAACTACAGTCATGCTGTCCAAAGTCCTGTGAAGTTTTGAGATTCTACCTCAAATACTTTTGTAGCTATGCATGACACAATTTCAAAAGAAAGGACTGATAGATGGATAGACAGACAGACAAGAGAAAATCTATATCCACCATTAAATATTTTGAGATATGGGTACAATTCTGTGTAGATTATTAAAAACATACATTTTCTGCTCTGAAATTAATGAAGATAAGGAAAGCACACCTGTAACTGAAGATTCCTGAAGAAAAAGAGCAAGAAGATAACTGAATACAGAAACAATACATTTTATATTTGTCAATTTAAAGTCTATGTACCATCATAAGTATGTGTATACTGTCTAAATGAAGATTTCATTTCTCTGCAGAGTACTGGCTGACAGCTGCACATATAAATCCATTTCCCGTTGTCACAATTAAAGGTAACATACTTCCTTTCAAGCAAAATGAGATCTTTCTGCAAAGAAAAAAAAATGAAAATTGGGTATAACGGTATAACATTTTAAAAACTCCTTCCATGGTTAAAATTAAGCACATTCAATTTACAATTTCACCAAGTGTGGCACATTATATTGAACAAGAACTTTTAATTATAAGTCTGTAAGTGCAATAGTATTAAAAATTTAAGACTTCAATAAAACTTTCCAGAAAATCTAAGTTATAAGAGGATAATAATTCAGCCAAAATTTCAGAACTTTGGGATATGGGTCAGTTGTCACAGCACTTGATTGTGGACAAATTTTTCAAGTTTCAATGCAATAGGTGCTATAGTGTTCAAGATAAACACCAACAGGCATTTAAGAATAAAGTATTTACATGCCCAAGACAAAATGAAGGTTTGCAAAGTTTAATTGTAATTTGCAGTCTGATCAATTTATACTAAAACAGTAGTTCATAATTATATACATCATACCTTCAACTGACACTTTTGGAAGTCCAGTTCTGGTAAAACCATGAAGAGACCAACTCCATCAGAAATTTTCACACTCTCAGACTCTGAAAAAATTCAAGTCAAACCATAAACCCTAAGGTCAAAGCAAAAACAATACAAAAAAGGAAGAACAATTTCAGTCTACAAAATCAAAACCTTCCACAAAAATCAAGGGAAATTAATTTTCATTGATGAAACTTTTTGTCATGTATGCATGTACATACATGTAAAATGTTCTTGTTAAAATATTCCAGGTTTGAAAGATTTGGAAATCTGAATTTGCAAAGATGTTCTCAAGAAAATGTAGTATTTAAGATTAAAACATTTAAAGATAAATTTAAAATAGTAAATGAATGGGAAGAGTAACACATTAAGTAATGAAAAGACTTCTTGATTATACATAGTAGTTATAAACTAAGACAAAACATTCTATATGCAAAACATCAAGTGAAAATATTACAATGAACAGCAGCAGAGGACCAAGTTATTCAAAACTTTAAGTAGGAAATTATTACCTGCATACAAAAGGTTCAAATAGAGTTCTTCTTTGTTTAGGAACAGGTCAGTTGGACATGCCTGAAAGGAAAATCATCAATCACATCATATGTCAATTCACCTGAAATACTTACAGGGAAATGCCTCTCAGATTCAAATTCTAATCACACATCACGTTCCTCATAAATTAACTACTATACAGTCATGTTTTGTGTGATTCTTTAGAAACATAACTGGAATTATCTATTCAAACCGTAGTTTTTACTTAGTTTGTGTACTGTAAAGCCTATCTAACTTTTTTTTCTGTTAGTTTGGACTATAGTTGATTCCATTTTAAAACATTATTTACATGTATAACTGATACCTACCTGTACTTCTCTGTCTACTGATTGAACCCCGCCAGCAGCATGATCCCCACTAGCATAATTCTCGCCACTAGCATAATCCCTGCCAGCATGATCCCCAGTGCCAGAATGACCCTCACCACTAGCATGATCCCCAACCGTATCCTGCAATAGGTTAAAAAGCCAAAAATAAATTATATTACAATAGTGTTATGATTACCCTGGATCAGTAATTTAATCCAAATAATTGGACATAAAAAAATTGTGCTAACATAATTAAACTATTAGATCGAGTTAATCAAAGATCCTTGAAGATAAAGTCTTTAAAGTTTTTAGTTGATTTTGAATTATTTTCCCTAGGAAAGAACTTAAAACAGCAAAAATCTCCAGATTCAAGGGCAGATAACTCAAAGACAACCCATTTTTTTTTTCTCACAAAAAGTGATTATCTATAATCATGCCAAATTCTAAAAATTTCTTTTGGTCAGTTTAAATTTTACTTCTTTGTATTTATGAAAAAAACAAACTATTACGATCATCTTTAAAGGGTCTTGAATGTGACACATCATCTTGATGTGGTCAACAGTTGTGCCAAGTTATTTTAAAAGCCTTTTATGCATGATAAAGTTCAGTCAGAACACAAATGTTGTGTTAGCGTCATTCTAAGCAATGAAAAACCCTTTGAAGTTTACTATTGACTGCATTTATGATTCTACAGCATTTTATTTGCAATTATAATTCTAAATAATTTAAGAAGCTAAGCATACAATAAATAATGTTGCAATAATTACATTTGTAGTAGTGCTAAATAGAGCAGTTGACATTGCTGTAATTTCTTCATTGGACACTTGGTTAACAGCATCACTACACAGCGTCGAACGTTCTTCTACAGGATGATTTCCTCTAGCAGAACTGAGTGCTGTATAAATAAGAAATGGTTCAAATATTATAATTACATGTATTTTCAAACCAAAACATCATCATAAAGTACATATTTCAATAGAATTTTCATGCTTTTATTATTGCTTGAATTATTGAGAATAAGAAAATAAGCCTATTCTTGAATTTATTGGTTAAAATGTTATCTGCTTCATAAAAAGGCTTTAACCCAGATCAATGAGAGGGAACTGATTTGACCATTCTTTAGCCACAGAGGCCCCCTGTTTTCATTTCATATCAAATGCCTTCAACAATTAAGAACATCAAACACTACAAGAGACTGTTCTTGTGACAAATATATGTCTCCCCTCCTGGTTATAATACAGGAGGAGAAATTAACCTCCAAGTGTGACTTTGGCATTTGGGTAAGCACGTTGATCTTACTGTCTATACATTGCCTCATGTTTGTAATGATTTGCACCAAAAGGTTTGGGAATACCTCCATGCATGAAAGACATGACATGAAAAATGGAAGGCCTATTTGTAAGGTTTGATGTCTAAGTATGACCTTGACCTTGCTGACAATCATAATGACACATCCTGGATTTGTACGGACAGACAGACGGACGTTCTAACAGGAGAGTAAAAATGTGGCTACTCTATTGTTCTGTCTATTGTTCTTTTTAAATACACAAAAGGAAAAGCATTACTGAATGACAAAGAGAAAGAACAGTTACCTCTTGTCCCATCATCCACATTATTACTGTCCTTTGAGTGCGGATGGACAGATGACGGAAAAGTGATCCCTATATGCCGCCACTTCTACGTACAGGTGACACAAAAATGGATAGGACATTATTTTAGATAGGTCAGTGTGAGACCATGGCCTTTGATATATGATACTTTCTTATTTTATATAACATTCATATAAGACCATGACAGTCATCGAATTTAGCACTGGCCCTGTAGCCCATAGCCAGTGAAAATAAGTTCGGGCCGGTGTAAATTTTAAGAAAATTTAGTTAAATAGATCTAGTAGAATAAATTCAAACTGGAATTCGGGCCAATAAATTCAACATCTTAAATTCAATGACTGCATGACATTTATAACAGGATATGGTCTCATTTTAGATAGGTACATGTAAATAAAAGACTGTTCCTTTATTACAGGATTAATCTTATTTTACATAGGTTAATAAGAGACCATGACCTTCATAACAGGATATGGTCTAATGTTTACCATAGGTTAATTAGAGACCATGACCTTCATAACAGGATATGGTCTAATGTTTACCATAGGTTAATTAGAGACCATGACCTTTATTACAGGATATGGTCTTATTTTACATAGGTTTATAAGAGACCATGACCTTCATAACAGGATATGGTCTAATGTTTACCATAGGTTAATTAGAGACCATGACCTTTATTACAGGATATGGTCTTATTTTACATAGGTTTATAAGAGACCATGACCTTTATTACAGGATATGGTCTTATTTTACATAGGTTTATAAGAGACCATGACCTTTATTACAGGATATGGTCTTATTTTACATAGGTTAATAAGAGACCATGACCTTTATTACAGGAAATGGTCTTATTTCAGAGGTTAATAAAAACAAAAAACCTTTATAATAGAATATGGTCTTATTTACATTAGCTTTATTAACATATATGGTTATCATTTTAGATATGCAACAGATCATGGCCTTTAAAACAGAATATTGTCTTATTCTATATAAGGCTTTAAAGAAGAGACTGTCGGCTTAATAACATGATATGGTCTAAATTTAGATAGGTATAAAAGAAATCATGGACTTCTAGTCAGGATATGTTCTGTTTTAAAATAGGTTGGTAAGAGATCATGGGCATGGCCATCATAAAAAGATACAGTCTAATTTCAATTTACATATGTCAATAAGAGATAGGGTTGGACACCGGTTCCCGGTATCGGTCCTATACCGAATAGTAACTTCGTAAATAACCGGTATATACCGTTTCGTAAAATACCGGTACTGGATTTGATACTTTTGTAATTTTGTAAAAAAATAATTTAATAGTCAATATGTCAAAAAAATAAGAAGATTTTTAAATAAAACAGCCTACAAACACGTAAAACAAACTATGAACTACTATTATCATGCGGCGAGTACGGCTTTCGCGGCAAAGTTGAAGTTTGTGACGCGGCGATATTTTTGTAAAAGTATTGTGTCACTTATGTTCAAGATAATAATATTTTTGTACTCGGCAGGAAAATATAATTATTTAAACTGATTTTGGTAAAAGTTTGTAAATTTTAAATGTCAAAGAAACAACGAGAAAACAAATCAAATACTTGAGTAATCATCGGCACATCGCACACAGTCCTTCCAAACACACCGCACACAGCTTTTGCCGTAATGACAATGTAAATCCAACATATGACAATTGTTAATTCAAACAATGCTTTTAAAAAATAATTAAATCCTTTTTTCAGTTTAAATTTCTAAACACTCATAATGAATACATATTTAATGTTTCCAGGTCCTTTCCTTCCATTACCACATGTACAAATCCACACGTGAATTACGACTTGAACATAAATGAGGCCGAAATATTCCAACAAAATATCCCTCCTTTTGTTTTTGGTGTAACACTGAACTATTTGAACAGAACAGAACAGAACAATACTTTATTATCTCAAATCAAAAGACATATGAGATTACAGAGTAAATGCAAATTTCAAAACACATGACATGTGGTGTATGCAAACAGTATTATAAAGCGATATTTTCAGTAAATTTAAATATTCAGTTATTATAATAAGTACATTGATGAGGGGAGTGGGGGCGGGGGCGATGCGAGAATTATTCCGAACGGTGAAGTCGTATGTTTATACAGGTGTGAAATTGGTATGAATCTTAAAACAGACTATAGACAGTTGTAGGAGTATTGACATTCGTGTCTATTTCAGTCTTATCTGATTGGCTCAAATTTGTTGACATTGAATTAGATCGTGCGAATCGTGACAGACTTAAAGTGTGTCGCGCTTATAGAAAGTATGTCTTTATTTACTAGTACAAACAAAAACAAAAACGGATTAATGTGCGTACTTGTCAATAGAAAAATGGTATTTTGCGCAAAACTAATTGTTTAACCCTTTTTCTTATGATATTAATTTATAAATTTGTGTTGCGTTTTTTAGACTTATGCCATGTTAAGACAGGTAGGGAAGTGGTTGGGAACATTAATTTGATTTGCGATGTAGAATCGGGTTACTAGTATATATTGCGTTATTATACAGTTTGCATGTTATTGCATTAATATACATTCTATACAGCATATTAAAGATGACAACAATAGTCAGCGTGAAGCAAACATGAAGTCTTAATATGAACAGATAATGGCAATGGACAGAATTTCGAAAAATATAAATAAGCATTTTTTTCCCTAACAAATATTATATTGCATGATTTGTTACAAACATTACCTCCGTATTGTTTCAAATAGTATTTTAATGAATTTACAAAGTTTTTGTAATTGCATAGGACTTGAATTCGTTAATAACATTTTAAATTTTATAATGTTTGGATTCCTATAATAATACCTGTTAATATATTTTTTTCTGTGGTCATCAAAAAAGGTGCATTTCAACAGATAATGGAGTTCATCTCCTATGTCATTTAAACTACAAAGAGAACATTTTCTCTCAGAGATATCTGTACCTTCCCATCTGCCGATTTCTATCGGGAAAAAATGGTTTCCTGTTCTGAATTTAATCATATTTATAAAATCTCCATTATCAAGAGTCAATAAATAATTTTCAAGGCATATATTTTTCTTTATATATAGAATAATTCTCCCTTTGCTTGAATTTTGTAGAGTTTCATGCCACATTTGATAATTCTGATCTAAAAGTACCTGTTTAATAACACATTTTGATCGTTTTTGCTCTGAATATTTGTCTGATTTAGCCATAAGTCATTCCTACCCGTATTTGAAAGTATACTTTAATATAACTGAGCCATTTAAATTCAAAATCTTGGCAATTAATCATATTTTGATATATTTTGTATGCAATTTTATTTTTGTTTCCTAATATTAATCTGTTCCAGAAACACAATCATCCTGCATTTAATTGTAATATTAATTGGGTATCTGCCAGATTCTGCATATAGCATATACAGGGGTGTACTTGTTCTAAAGATGTAAGACTTTCCTAAGGAACTCACAATGTATTCTCTCCATGATTTTTAGGTCTTCATAGCCCCAATTTCAGATGCATATGTTAAAATTGGCAGTACAGTATGATCAAATAATTTAAATATAGGTCTATAGGCAAATTTAGGTTATGAATTCTTTTATATAATAAGTGCATAGCCTTTTTGCTTGCTGTGCTAAATGTTTTTCTGTTATTTAAGAAACTGCCTGATTTTGAAAACAATGTCCCTAGATATTTATACGAGCTAACAATTTCTAAAGACATCTCCCCAATTTTAAAAGAGAAATTTCTATCAGACCTTGAGCCAAAGATTAATACTTTAGTTTTACTTGCATTAATATAAGATTCCAAGTATTACAATACGTGACAAAATCATTCAGACATTTTTGAAGTTTTTTCGGGTCTTCCGATATCAAAACCGTGTCGTCAGCGTAAAGAAGAACTATAATTTTCAGGAAATTCATGAGTTCATCATTTTGACTTTGGGTAGAAAATATAATTCCTGTATTGTTTCTATCTTCAAGATATTTCTCTAAGTCATTCAGAAAGAGTGAAAAAAGTACAGGGGATAAATTTTCCCCTTGACGTACCCCGCAATTACAGTCGAAAAAGGCAGAATTTTCATTATTTTTAGAAACACAAGACTTAATGTTATTATACATGTTCAACACTAGCCTCATAAATTTACCATTGATATTAGTATTTAGTAATTTTTGCCATAACCCTACTCTCCATATGGAGTCGAAGGCCTTAGAAAAATCGACAAAAATACAAAACAATTTCTTTCCCTTTTTCTCAAAATTTCAATAATAGAATTTATAGTAAATATATGGTCTAAAGTTGAATAGTTCTTCCTAAAACCTGCTTGGTTTTCATTTAATAAATTGTTTGCCTCCAAAAACAAGTTTATTCTGTTATTTAGCACTGACGTAAAAAGTTTACCTATGCAGCTTAATAATGTAATAGGGCGATAATTTTCAGGGTTGTCTGTTTCACCCTTATTTTTATAGATAGGTATAATTATTCCCTCAGACCATTGAGTAGGTATTTTGCCAGTATTTAAGATTAAGTTGAAAAAAGAGATTATTATTAAACATGTATACATTTTCTTAACAAAAGAATGCTGACAGAACTTCAATCAAAAAGTGTGAATGTCGGCGGCTCTTTGATGGGGGTGGGAGTGGTTTCGTCTAACTACCGGTTCGTCTAACTGATCTTATATAGTAAAACAGGTAGTGGTTTCGGCTAACTTAATTTATATAGTGAACAATAGCTATTGTATAATGTATAATGGGCACATTAATTATCGCGGGTTTTAATGTGTGGTTTATCACACATTTTCATGCAATTAAAGACAAGAAAAATTGAAAATTTAAACATATTTTTTATTCTTTTCTTTAGTATAATTTTGATATTTACATAAATAATAACACAAGATCTCAGTGAATAAACAACATCATAGAAATATATATACGTTTATATGTACAACCTGAAAAAAAAACTAAAGAGTCAACACAAATTACATTTCACACAAGTTTATTTTTATAATCTATGTTAAACTATATATACACAAATAGTTAAAGCTGAAAAACATGCCTTTAATCGGAATAAAATCGACATATATACTAAAAAAAACAAAGCTTGAAAGAGAAAGAATTAATAACAATGCATAAATACATAAAAAATCCACGTACGTAATTATTATAAATAACACATATTTTTTAAATACTTTATTTTTCTCTATATAAACAAATATGAGGTATGCATATTATTCAAAAGAATACGTCATGATTTCTATGTAATAAACAACAATCTGTTTTAATTCTTTATTCACCACTCAATAGATATAAAACTATGATTTAAACGTTTTATTATATTTACTTATACATGAATAAATATATATACGTATATACGAAAGTAAAACCTGAAAAAAAAGAATAATTTATAAAATTTACACAAATATATACACATTTATACAACCTGTAAAACATATTTTTACTAATGTCAACCTATATTCACAAAAGGTAAAATTATACCATTATTATTGTAGTAATTGAAGCAACGCATATTTTTTAAATTCTTTATTCATCTCTTTATAATCATGCATAGTATTACAGAGTATACACCATGGCTTTTTACGTAGTATTAAGCAATTCTTTTTTATTCTTTATTCATCACTTTTTTATATATATGACACTTAAAAATCGTCCTCATAAATCCCGTCGTTGATGTTGTTGGATCCTATTCCGGTAATGTGGCTGCACAGTCTTAGTAGTTGGGA